GTCGTTCGACCTCAAGAAAATGGCTGTCAACAAATTACGCACGGTTTAGCGAACTAAGTCCAGGCAAACCAACTTCAAACTAATCATTTTTGTCACAGTTTTCGCGCTGGTAAATGTTTAATATAATACTATCAATTGGGGGATATTTTCGGTCGCGTGATATATGGAAATAGTGTACTTTTAATCGACTTTTATTTGCGATACCATTTGGTGTCGCACGTTATGGGAGACACCATAGCTCTTCTGATTCGATAACAATCCTGATATCTGAGATAACAAATTTAATGAATCAAAATTTATCATAAATTACTAAAATACCACCACAAAGACTGAAGACAGTATCAGGGGGAAAATTCTTTCTCTGGGGTTCTCCACACTTGCCAGGGGGGAATCTCGTCTCGTCTCTATATCTCGTCCCCTTGAGGTACGGGATCGGGAAAGTCACTTACGCCTTACAGTCAAATAAGACACACACAACGAAATACGTTTCAGCTCTCGTCTTAGTCGGTCAATCGAGCACTCTATAAGACACAGCGCCCTGGGGAAAAAATCCCCAAGACTATCGCAAGGCTGACCCAAGACTCTCTTAGACTGCGTCAACACTCGCCCCAAGGCTCTCCAGGACTGCCTTCGACTGCCCAGGACTGCGTCTATCGTGGTGTACTCGTCAAGACCAACTCAAAACTCTCTTTATTCATTTTCAAAACTCTAACCAATTACAAAACAGTAAAAAGACTCTAGGGCGTAACCTTCAATCATAAAGCCAATCACACTAAGTACTGAATACGTCATATCTTTTGATTAATCGTTCACTACATTAATAACTACGGATACCAACTGTCAGAATCGATAGTCATCTGGTAATTAGTTCCAAATCACTGAGCCAAGTTCCGTTCAAAACTTCAAATAGGCCTAAACGATGACAGACATAACACAGCAATTCAGCTAATAATCAACTAATTAAGTCGGTTAACAGATACGCAAAAACAAATTCATGACAACAGACACAAGAAGAGCCATGGGCCAACAGCTAGTTTTCTG